CTTTTTCCCTGTGCCATTCCACATTATTACAAATAACTTCATTTCTGAACATTTATGATTTGATTTCTTTGTATGTATGGATCACTTGGGTTGTTACCGACATCTGGTGAAAATTTTATGTCATTAGCACCTCTAGTAATATATTTACTGAGAAAAATGGTCACGTGTTCAATACTTATTTTACCCGCTGTACATGTATATAYATAGAAATATTTCTGGGGTTTCTTTTAATATTTATCAAATTAATTTGTGTCAAAATCTGAAACAAACCCTGGTGTTAGTTTCTGGGGACATTTATGTAACCCGTGTTGCAACTTGTGCTGATATCCTGCACTCTGGTGCTGCCCGTCAGCGAATACAGGTCAAACAGTAGCCAGACTGTGCCGTCTTTGTTTCTGTTACTAAAACCTTTAATCCTTCCACAGGAGTTTGGAGATCACGCCAACATTGTCAAACTTCTAAACATCATCCGGGCGCAGAATGATAAAGATATTTATCTTGTCTTTGAATATATGGGTTAGTATTGAAAAGCAAAAACATTTGAACAAATACACATTATGTACAAAACATCGGCAAGGAGAAGGCAGAAATAAGTGTTTGACAATAAAAAGTATGTAAGCAGTTTATTGCCAAAATGTGTTTACATTCGTATTTAGGATCCTGTCWTTTGTTTAAATTGATGCTGCAGCTATAAGTCAACTGTTTATGTTTATTTTATGTTTGTTTGTCGTAGACACAGACCTGCATGCTGTGATAAAGAAAGGCTCTCTTCTGAAGGATGTCCATAAACGTTATGTGATGTACCAGYTGTTCAAAGCCATTAAATTTCTTCATTCAGGAAATGTTATTCACAGAGACCAAAAGGTGAGGGAATGAGAAAATATAAAAAATTTCTTATAGATAATTTGGCATTTTTAACTTTTCTTTCTTTTTGTTTGTTTGTTTGTTAAAACAAAACCACAATAAAACCATTGAGCTAAAATTAGCTTTATTGTCCCTTCATGACTGATTTCTGGTTTTATAGCTTAGAAAGAGGATCTGGCTTGTTTTATTTTGAAAAGGCTTTTATCCGTTTGCCACCCCAGCCTTCCAACGTGCTCCTGGACTCAGACTGTGTCGTCAAGATTTGTGATTTTGGCTTGGCCAGATCGCTCAACCAGATCCAGGAGGACAGCGGGAACCCAACACTGACGGAGTACGTGGCCACGAGGTGGTATCGAGCTCCTGAGATCCTGCTGGGATCCTCAAGGTATGAGCAATGATCAGCACCCGTTGTTCTTAGAGTAAATTACTGTATTTATTCATGTATAATACGATCTCATTAAAATACAACCCCCCTTTTTTTTGGAGTTTAAAAAGCATAAAAAATTTAATCCTCAAATTACCTCCAATTTCGTACAGACTTCAAGATTTTTCAGCCTTTGCAGTCTTTATACATATCAGTAAAATGATCATTGGACCGTTCATTTTGTTTTAACAACATATGTACTAAAAGGTATTTTGACAACAAATATACATGTTTATCAGCTGTAGCAGCATTACAGTATATGAATTCTGGCATTTTACACATAGTCCACCAGGAGGCGCTAACACAAAAGTCAGAGATTCACATGACATTTGGGCCATCTTCTGGGGGAAAAGCAGATTACTTCCTAGTTGCGAGCGCCCCCTCTGGTGGGAAAACGTTTTTTCAGGGATACACAATTTATTTATTTTTTTGGATACAATCTTTGTCAGAACACCGGTAGACGGCCGCCATTACAGACGAACATGTTTGTTGTTGTTCCAGCAGCGGCCCGGTCACACGCTAATGTCATTAGTTCGTTATCATTACTAAGGTGCAGGACTGCCTTTTTTTTTCCTTTTTTTTTCACATCATGTCGCCTGCTTGGATCTGTTATGAGGCACGAAGGAGTGTCACAGGTAAGCTCGCTTCAGCTGCTTTTTACGACACGGTCTCATTTCCGGACTCAGGCATTTTGTGAATGAAGCCGATATTTCAGTTAAAATACATAAGTAAAAATATTTATCCAAGTATACTACCCCCCAACTTCATGGATGATTTTATGGATTTAATTTTACGTATTATACTTGAATAAAYACGGTAAGCCTTTCCTTCACAATAATTGATTTTATTATTGATAAAACAGAAATATGACAATTGTTATCTCATTTTAAAGGAGCAGTGTCAGTTTTAGGGCGGATTGATACCAAACCATGAAACCCTAACCATCTAACCATTTGTCTTTGAACTTCATCATCTACTCTTGTGCTATTGTGGTGTTTTCAAACCCTGTAGAATATAACAGAATGAGTTGTCCACCCTGTTTGTTTTTCTCAGTCACAGCTGTGTAACATCTTTCCTCTTGGTATTTAGAGTATAAATAATACCTCGTCATCAATCCAGACAAAGAAATCTCGGATGTTTTTGCTCCATCTTCTACTGTTTATTTGTGGTTGGGTCGCTGAAGCATCAGGTCCAGGAGAAAAACTCCCTCTTCCCAGYGACACTCTCCAGCTCCTCCTGGGGGGATCTTATGGTCTCCTCAAGCTAGAGAGGACGTATAATCCCCCCAACAAGTTCTGAATCCACCCTGGGGCCTCTTCCTTGTGCCCGGTACATCCAGGATCCTAATCAGATGCCTGAACCACTTCATCTGACTCCTTTCTATGCAGAGGAGCAGCAGCTCTACTCTGAGCTCATCGATCCTGCTCCATCCTACCATAGTCTCACCACTAGATGGCACTTCCTACTACACGCACTGCTCCTTTTAAAGTGGCACTGTTCTCACTTCACTAAAAAAAGGAACATATGTTGTCTAAAGGTACACTAAGGGTGTGGACATGTGGAGCCTTGGCTGCATCCTGGGAGAAATGCTGCTGGGAAAAGCCCTGTTTCCTGGAACATCCACCATCAACCAGATAGAGAAGATCATGAGTGCCATACCTCACCCAAGTCCAGAGGGTAACTAAAAAAATCAAAATGTTATAATAGATTTTTTAAAGCTGTTTTAGTTTGGATCAAATGCTTTTATATTTTCAGATATATATTTTTATATTTTCAGATGTTCTCGCCATCAGGTCTGAATACGGATCTTCTGTCATTCAAAGGATGTTACTGAAGTGAGGAAATATGTTTTTCTTTTTAATTTTTTGTGAAATAATTGTTCCATATAATAGAGATGTGAACAAAACATTAAAATTGTGTTATTTTACATATAAATAGCTGTATTTGTTCTCAGACGGTCTGTTTTTGCACGTTATCACAGTTCATCGTTGTTGTTTTAATGACCGTGTCATTGCTGGCACGAAGCTGAATCAGAATGACGCAAACAGAATTTCTTCTTGTCCTATGGGAAGATTATCACAAAAGCAAGCATGAGGAGATGAGCTTAATTAAGAACTCAGGAGTGGTGATTATTGCAGTGACAAGGCAAAACAGGCTGCCTTCTCATGACATGAGTAAACCTAAATAAGCAGGCAGAAAACATTTCAACTTTCTATTTTGACTGCTTTAAGGTGATGATTTTTTTTATTTATTTGTATGTTTTCTGACTCAGGCTGTTTTCTTTGTTCAACAGACCACAGGTGCCTTTGGAGGATCTTCTCCAATCGTCTGTGCCTCTTGATGCTCTCGACCTGCTGAAGGGATTACTGGTTTTCAACCCAGACAAGCGTCTGACTGCAGAGGAAGCCCTTCAGCACCCTTATGTCGCCAGGTATCAAAGCTTCAGCGTCGATTTGTGTACTGAAAGCATCGACAAGTGAAACGATTCTGATATTTTAAATTATTTTCTTGTTGATTAGAGATGTCAAAATTTGTAAGCCTATGTTACTTTTATGTTTCTATAAAGTGTAAAAACTACAGCTGAGTTCTCTGTTCTTACAGGTTTCATAATCCAGCCAAAGAAACAGCTCTTAACTACAGTGTAGTTCTGCCAGTGGACGATGATGTGCAATTATCTGTGGTTCAATACCGCAACAAAGTATATGAGGTTCTGAAAGCTAGAGTTTTTCACATATTAGTCATGTTATACTAAATCTGTAGCATCTTAAATGGGCATTTTACAAATTGAAAGTTCAACAGATCTTCTCCCCCACAGATGCTACTGGAGAGAAGAACTAACCACGGGATGCTGAGACTGCCCAAAGATGGAGGTGGTTCAGGTGACCAAGAGAAAAACAGCACGAGGTGTGACGAGGAAGTGAAGAGCCCAGAAGCAGCAAACAACCACGAAGATGACAGCCAAAGAGGGAAACCGCAGYACGAGCAGCCTGATGAGACAAACCATGTCACTTCACATCCAGAGGTCATCAAAACTGGGGCCGTGAACTCGTCTGCGGCGGAGAAGACGAGCCCGATAGCCAGAAAACCCTCATATAACCCCATCACACATGTCCCAAGTAGGAGCATTTATCTCACTGTTGGAGTTTTTATACCTGTTTTTTCTTCATTCATTTAATTAAAGTCCCTAGAYAAAATATTTCTCAGCCAAAATGCACACATGTTGTTTTGTTACGATGGAGCTKTGTGGAAAGATCCTGAAATGAATATAAACTCTTATTTTTTATCCAGACAGTTTTGTTCGGGTTCCAGGTGGTGCAGCTCATTACAATCACCTCACTGCAGCCAGCAGGACAGCAGCAGGACAGACCAGTAATGGCACTACATTACCAGCAGAGGGCGCCAGCCCCATTGTTGTGAGAAACAGACTATTCACTGTCAACTCATTTATTTTACTTGTGATGTCCTGTAATCTGACTCGTCACCCTCTCTGYTCTAGGCTATGGACCAGATTCTGCAGCGTGGCCGCTCAGCTCCTCCTGTTCACAACCACTCTTTCTCCTTGACCCTGAACCAAACCCAGAACAACCCTTTAGTCCGTAAGGATGAGACGTCTCTATCYGCAGGGCTGCACATCACTTCAGCTCGACTGGTCAGTCCACCAGGACAGAGAAATTATTCTATTATCGTTATATAAGAGTTTTAAAGGTTTCTCATTTGAATCAACATAATTTGATGACAGTAATAAAACKTGACTTTCATCTGCAGCACCAACGCTCCAGCTCTCAGGCCCGGGAGGCCCGGCCACCACCGCGGTTCAGCAAGAAGGTGTTTCAGAACAACTGTAATGTTGCCGCTGCTGGAGACCCACGAGCCAAATTAGGCAGCTACTCCCAAGCTTACGGCACCATCAACAAGACGGGACTGGACAATCTGCTTCGAAACCGCCCTCACAACCAGTAGCTGCTGGAACACCTGACGGAGGCTGGCCTAACACTTTGAACACCTTGTTTTGGCAGGATACTGGGTGCTGGGTGCCAGACAGATGTTTTCTGAAGCTGTTGAATAAAACCTCTCATTTTGTACTTTATAAATTCTAGTTATGTTGACATATATTTGAATTCACTGCCTGTCATGATGAAATCTGTTGTGTTTATCAAAGTAAAAGCTGTGGCCTTTATTTGATTGTATTTTTTTTTTATGTTTATTGCAGCCATATTGTTTGGATCTAAACTGATAAATATGCAACTCTGTTATTCTCTTTTGTCATCTTGTCAACATGGCAAGACAATTGTAGCCTTCACTTACTGAATTAAAAACAAACTTACTTAAAAGCCTGATGGGTTAATACCATATTAAAACAATATAATTCCAGTAAGATGGACTTATAGAAACTGTAAAACTTTGCAAATAGATGTTTATATTAACATATTATATGCAATGACACCAGCAATAAGCCTCTGTTGTAATGTGTGCAACACAGATTTATAATAAAATGAGGCTGAAGTTACCAAATGCAATTAATACCGATTTAATTTATAGTTATGTTCTGGACATAAATTATTAGTCTGGTGGTTCATGTCCCACGCTGTTTTCAGACAGATTCTGACATCAATGTATTTGTTCCGTGCATCCTCCTTGTTAAATGCTACTTTAAAMAGAAAATGTTCTAAAATTTCTAACTTGTTTATCTGCATTATTTCATGGAGTGTCTTATAATATTGTTTATATGGTCCTCTTTGGGACAAAAAGGAAATTGAGGGATAATGTTTTTTACTGGTGTGATCAGCGTGTTTTTATTTATTTATTTTTTTGGATGTCAAACTACTTTCTTTTGCTAATTTAACTGTCTAAAACTTTATACATTTTAGATAGTCTATTTACAAAAACTAGTTCCAGTCTCTTCAGCTCCTTTCAAATCAATATTCACTTTATTCAATATGCACAAGATTACTCAAAAAGGTAGAGCAAATTTTCATGAAGTTTTCACAACAACAAATGATTAAATTTTCATGGTGATAAAATATCAGCCAGAGCTGCAGTTCATTGATCTGACAAGAAATTTACTGTAAAACAACTGAGCCACCAGCATCACTTAAATTTGCATAACCTACTTTTGATCAATATTTTTGAATCAAAATAGATAAAGTAAGATTCTACTTGCATAAATTGTACATTTTAAGGGCTACAAGTAGATAAAAACAAACAAACACTTTTTAAGGTTTATCTAGCTGATAATAAATCACATGACTCAGGCAGTCTAGATCATTCCACAGCAGCATTTTGTTCATAACTTTTCTGCTGGTTTTCTTTTTTTTTTCCCTCCACATGACTCACAGGATTAGTAAAAATGCTGTGTCATTCAGCGTCACAGAGGTAAACATAAAGATAACATACGTGTTTTAAAATGACTGAGCGGAGAGTCTCACAGATCAAGTGACCCAGCCGAGTGATGACGTCACACCCCCCTCTGCTCTGCTAGTTCAGTCAGTTTGAAGATCCGAGCGGAGGTGCGGACTAAATTCAGTACTTCATTGGCTCACAAATAAAACACTCTAAAGGTAAGGGTGTTGTTGTTTTATTAAGATTATAATTGATGACATATTAGTTGATTTTTTTTTTTAATTCAGGAAGCGATAAGCGAACCCCCACCCCCAGAACTGTCGCTAGTTGTTGCAAACCTTAGCATCCAGTTAGCTTGTTTATRGCTAGAAGGCAGAAAATTCGCGAAAAATTATTTAAAACGTGTGTATGGAGACAAAGGACGCTATGAATAATGGCGGTCAGGGTTTAAAGGATTGCTGACAGCACATCAGTGTAAACGTGTTGTGGGCTGGAAGCAATGTTTTCCTACTGACTGCTAAAAAAAATAAACATTAAAAATGGATCCAACATGGCGACTTGTGTTGATTTGAGGAGGGGGGGTGGTGTTTGGCCCAAATATTTTTAGACAGTTTCGATACATTCTGCAGTGGTRTCCCCCCCTCTAATGGCGAGGATAGCTGAACAGATAATCTGAGTGTCGCATTTATCTGAGGCCTCTGCAGCATGGTCAATAATACTGTGTCCATCTTTCTGTTTTGGTTTGTCTGAAACTAAAATGTTTTATTCATACCTGGTTGAACAGTTTCACAGTTTTCCTTTGCAGAGCTCTTCATTGCATGATAAAATTATTGCACGGTGATTATGCGTTGATTATTATRTAATCCAGCACTTTATTTCATAACATTTAGAATTGATTTGTAAACAGGTTTGTGGAAGGAATGATTGATTAATTAATGTTTAATTGGTGATCATTCTAATTTTTGTCATTCAGTTTAGAAATGAATTTAAATTCACCTACAAGTRTGAGCTTTTGTATTTTTGTCATTGATTAGGTCTGTTTAGGGTTTTGTGTCCGTTTCAGACCAAATACCTTGTCCAGGAAGATATTTTAACTTATAAATGTTTATATATTCTACAGTTTTGTATTGTAGTTAATTTGGATATTTGTTCCTTGTTTGTGGATATTTCTTCCAAAGACTCAAGTAAAAAGACAAAAGTAAAGTAAAATAACTGTTATATTCTAGAGCAGTGTTTCCCAAAGTTGGGGTCGGGACCCAAAGTGGGGTCCCGAAACATCAAGGTAGGGTCCTGAAAAGATTTTCTGAATTAATTACATTTTTGCCTTAGTTGTGTGAGGTTAGTATAGTTAAAATGGATAAATGTAGTAT